TGCACACGACCGCAGCGTAGTGCATGAGCGGCTCGACAGTCGCCGCGAAGACTGGGTCGTACCACGGGTTCCTCTCGCTGGCCAGGTAGAGCGCGTTGCTGCCACCTCGGCCCTTGGCGCCAGCCAGTCGGGCCGCCTCCGAGCGCAGCACGGCCAGCACGGAGGGGGCCACGCCGCTCACCGCCGCCCCGTGGGCGGCAGCAGGCAGCAGGCCTGTCTGCCACAGGCGCGCCGCACGCCCTCCAGCAGCACGTCGTAGCCTCGCCGCGCGCCTCAGCCGCGGCCCCACGTTCTTGAGCCTGGTCTTGACGACCTTCCTGCAGGCCTTGGTCCCATTCAGGTCGTGGCCCAGGTTCCTCATGTGTGGCTGCGATCCCATCCTGAGCCGCCTGGCATACTGCGCCGCTGCATCACGGCTCTGCCTGGGCGTCGCCACGTAGCCCGACTTGAGCTCCTGCAAAACGAGGCCCACGTCCCCGACCTCGTGCTTGAAGCGCCTGGCGGCCTGCCACAGGACGCGCGCGCCTCGCAGGTCCGTGCCGATCCACTGCGCTGAGGTGTCGTCGGCGAGCGTGCGCGGGATCACGTCATACGTCGCGAGCCGCCTCAAGGCCCGCGCCGTCGCCACCACCAGCACCGCCATCGAGTGGGAGCAGCCCGTCAGGATGCCCTGGTGCGCCGTGGAACTCTTCGACATCGAGCCGAACGCCTTGACGCGCCTCGGCAGGTGGTGGTACTTGAGGATGGCCCACACGAGGCGGGCCCGCGCCTCGTCCAGCAGCCTGCCTCCGATCAGGCTGTCGAACGCCTTCCGCGCATCCAGGAGCACTGTGACGCTGTGCCCTCCATTGATGTTCATGATCTCAGCCGTCAGGTTGTGCTGGAACGCTGCTGCCGTCGAGGTCCTGCCAGCTCCACCAGTGCCCCAGAGATCGGGCACGGCCGCCTGGTCGAGCCAGGCACGCGAAATCGTCGAACACGCCTTCGCCCACAGACGGAGGAAGGAGTTCACAAGGGCAATCAGCCTGCATCCTCCGCTCGCCTTGGGCAGGCGCACCAGCACTGTGTGCACTCTGTCCGTCGGCCACACCCCCAGCTTCTCGCATTGGCTGAAGAGTGCCGACAGCACGTAAAGGCCGATGTCGCTGAGGTGCCAGAGGGCCCGCGGGGCAATGCCCGTCTGGCCCACCGCGGTGCGCTCTTTGAAACACAGCGCTGCACGTCGGGGGTGACCGACGCTCATCCGCGGGAGCCCGGCCCAGTCATCAAAGTCAGGAGGCTTCTCCAGGGCGCCCTGCTCATGCACTGCCCGCGCATTCCCTCCATCCGTCGAGCTCGCGGTCAGCCAGCTGGCGCGGGCTGGCCCGCGTGGTGGCCCCGCGGACTTCGGCCTCAGGAGGTAGCCTCGTGAAGCGGTGTGCAGCACTCGCCCCGCCTGTGAGGCTCTTGGCCGCCCACGCGCGCCACTCCTTTTTACGCTCCCCATTGTAGCGCCTGGTGTGCCTCTCGGCCTCCGCCACGATCTTCTCGACCTTGGCGGTCCACGTCCCCGTGCTCATCTGGGCCACGCCGCCCGAGAGCCACTGTACGACGTCCTCAGAGAGCTGGCCAAGCACGCGCTGCGACTTCGCCACCATGTGGGCCGTGCAGCGGGCCACGGCCTGTGGCCACGCCTGGGGCCCACAGACCATGGAATCCCAAATCCTTCACCTGGCCCTGCAGGGAGCACAACTTGTCGCCCAAGACACGATGCTCCTGCACGCCGAAGATGTCACCTTTCGGGTCGTCCGCGAGGTACTCGGTCAGCCCTCGCGCGCATTAAACGTAGACCGTGGTCAACACACCTTTGACAGTCTCCGCACTGCCACCATACTTTGTATTACCAGAAACTCCCATCATCATACTGATCAAGGTATTCCAGAACAACCAACGCGTCGGCCCCCGACGCCTAGTAGGCACGATAGGCCCACGCACTGGCAGCTGCGGCGATCTGGTGCGCCTTGGCCCTGATCTCCGCCTCCTCGGTGGGGACCTGGACTCCTGCGGCCGCAATGCTGCCACGCAGCTGCTCGAGTGGCGCCTTGTCGGCCACCGTGCGCAGCCTCTTGGCGTCGGGCGGTGCCGCCGCCACGCCACCAATATCCACGTCACCAACAGGACGCACTCGCGTCGCAGCCCTAGGGCCGAAAGACGCCGCGATCTTGGGGTGGGCCAGGAACTTCTCGGTGACCTCGCCCGACGCCCCCAACTCCTTGAGCAGGTCGGCCAGGCCATCGAGGTTTGGCGCCCCACCTGGGGCCCCCACGGACTCCTTCGCGTCTGGAGGCCTGGGCACCTGGGCACTGAGCGCCCGCAACTGCTCCTCCAGCTCGGCCGCGTCAGCACGCAGCTTGGTGCCCTTCTCGCGCTCGGCCTCCAGCGCAGCCTGCGCCGCGGACCGCCTCCTGCGCCTTGGCCACCGCCGCGTCCTGCTTGCTGATGGCGTCCTGCTTGGACTTGAGCTTCTTCTGGAGAGTGAGCAGCTGCGCCACCACGGGCTTCTTGGCACGCGCCTGCTCTGCCAAGACCTGCCGCTGGGCCGCGATCCGCTCGATCGTGTCGAGAATGTCTTTCCCTGGGTCGGAGAGACCACGCAGCACACGTAGCTGGCCGTCAAGATGTTCGATTTCGCGCTGCTCGTCACCTTCCTCTGCGCCCTCCTCAGCTTCAGCGCCGCTGGGCGCCTCCGCCACGGGGCCCTTCTTGCCCTCCGCCCGCAAGGTCTTGAGCTCCTCACGCAGCCTGGTGAGCTCCCTCTGCATGGCGAGGTGCTGCCCAGCGGCGCCTGCGCCCCCACCAGCACCTGTGGTGCCACTGTGGCCACGGCGTAGCCCCTCCTCCCCTCGGACATGGCCCAGGAAGGTGCGGTCCTTGGCGCCGCCGCAGAAGTGGCAGAGCTGCTTGGAACCGAACGTGATGCATGGCATCCCGATCTTGGGCCCGCGCTCGTACTTGCAGAAACGGCAGTACCAGTCAGGCTTGGCCTCGCCGCCGCCACCGCCGCGGCCTCCAGGCGCCATGGTCGCTCGCCTGCTCTTGAGAGCAACGAGGCCAGCCACAGGGCCAGGAGAGACGGAAACAAAACTGTTGGGCAGAAACGCCCTGGCACTGGCCGCGGACTAGCGGTATCCACTTGTTCCCCTGTGGAACAGAGCATCTTGAGCCAAAATGGCTACGGAAGGAGCAGGAGGAGGAGGAGGAGGAGGAGGAGGAGGAGGAGGAGGAGGAGGAGGAGGAGGAGGAGGAGGAGGGGGGGGATGCGGAGGCGGAGGCGGAGTCGGAGGAAGAGGAGGAGGAGGAGGAGGAGGAGGAGGAGGAGGAGGAGGAGGAGGCGCGTGTTTCATTATGGGAGGCATCAACTGGGAGGTTGTCGTCGGAAGGGTTGAGTAGGAGCTGGCCCCAGTGGGCCGATAGGGGGCTGTTACGCCGGGGCGGGCCTCGGATTCAGCAGGACTGAGCCAGGTTGAGCGGGATTGAGCGGGATCAAGCAGCATTGAGGCGAATTTCGCACCATGGCAGGGTCAGAATTTGATCTCCCAGGAATTGCATCCGAAGTTTTACATGTTCGACTGCTCGCTGCTCGGCCAAACGAGGCTGAGACAACACGGCAGCTCCAACCAGAATAGAACGGCGGCAGTACAGAACGGAGCCGAACCGAACACGGCGCGAGCGAGAACATGCCAAAGCCGAGGACTCGCGGACGCCAGAAGCCGAAACACACAACTTGGATTTCGAACGCGGAGGAAGTTCCCCAGCGGTCTAATTCTAAGAGCGCTCTCAACAGAAAACGACACGGGGGTGCCTGCCCCAGCAGGGTCAGTCAGCATCGGATCGGGGATGGGAAGCCCAATGGCATGGGCCCGTGCGTCGGATCGGGCCGCATCGGCACGGGCTCGAACCCGAACCGGCCGGGCCGCGCCCGAATGCACAACCGCGTCGCGCAGGCGCCACGCCGCACCAGACCCTCGGCATACCCAGACCCCCGCCCATCGGCTTGTTTCCATATGCGGCCTCCTCCTGTTCCTCCTCCCAACCCCTGGCCGTGTCCCTCCTCTTCCTTCCCCTTGTTCAAGCGGCTAGTACTCCATGGCATCATTGTGCCCTGTTTCGGGCTCAAGCGGGGCCCTCATAGGCATGTCCCGGCCAGAAAGGGGTTCTGAAGCAGAACATGACCTCACGGCCAGCTCGTGTACTGACGGCTTGCGCCGTCGCGCGGCCCTCCGTCTCTCCCGAGCTCTTCGCTCTGTGCTCCGGCCGCCCGCGAACATGCCTTACCCGTGCACTGCCCTCGGCAGCAGCACGCGCGACGACCGCTGCCGAGGCAGGGCGGAGGTTCGTCCCAGCCTCCGTTCTTATGGCCCCTGTGGGCCGGATGGCGGGCCCCGGAGGCCGAAGTCCCAAAAGAACCGCCGGACGGAAAACACCGGCCCTCTGGGCCCCACTGGGATCGGACCGGGCCTGGGCCGGAGAGACCCCAAAATCGCATCGATAAAAGTCGGACGGCCGGCGATCGACATGGATCGGATCGGCGGACATCGGCAGCCAACTCGGGAGAAGTCGGATCGGCGGAAATCGGCAGAATTAGGAGCCTCCATTGAGAAGTCGGGGTCCAGACCGGAATCCGAAACCGAGCCGGATCGGAACCGGAAGCCATCGAGATCGACTCGGATCGAACCGGAGGAGGCGAAGCGAGCCCTGCCTGGGTGGAAACAGCCCCAGACCCCCGACGTCATGAATTTTTCATGACGCGACCCCCAGAGGTCCAGACCCATTCCCCGGGACCGGTTTTTCGTCCCGAGTCGTTTTTTGACGGTCCCGAGGCCCGGCGAGGGCCCCCGGAGGCCGAAAATAGCGACAAACCTCCCGTCGTGATTTTTGTCACGACGCGAGGAGGTCTGGGGACATCGGATCGATCGGTGGACTCCAGACGGGCCGCGGCGGCGGCCGCGCGCGGGGGTCACCGCTTTGCCGCTCGGCGCGGCCGCCGCCACGGCGCCGGGGGCCGGTGCGCCCGCCGCGGCAGGCGGCGGTCCTCGCCGGGGGCTCTGCTGCAGGGCGACGCAATCTATACATATCCACTGCTCCCTGGCCAGGCCCATCCTGAACACAGCAGCTGTGTATACGCCACGCCCTCCTGGTTTGGCCAGGAGGGCGTATACACAGCTCCTGGGTTCAGGAAGGGCCTGGCCAGGGAGCAGTGGATATGTATAGACTTCGTCCCCCGATGCTGGGGCCGCGCTTGGGCGTTGGGGGCGTTACTCCGCGCGAGCGTTGGGTCGGGCATGTCTGCAGGCGGATTTTGGAGGAAAAATATGCAATACCCTGATAATATTCAAACGTGCACAAAAAAGTTTGCCTCAAGAAGAGCCCGACCATATGCAGATGCGAAAACCGTATTATGGGTGCCGCTTTCGGTGGAGCCCTTTATCGGGCACCAAACTGCGTGAGGGGTGTGTGCCGAATTGGGCCTTCTGTGGAGCTCCCTATGGGGCAACGAAATGCGTGATGGGTGTGCCGAAGTGGGCGGGGGGACGCATGCGAACCGTGCCATTGGGTCCTTCGGTGGAGCTCCCTAATTATGGGGGACCATGAAACGTGTGAGGGATGTGCCAAAACGGCCGGGGAGACGCATGTGAACCCTGCTGTTGGGGCCTTCGGTGGAGCTCCCCATGGAGCCACGAAGCGTGTGAGGGATGTGCCGAAACGGGCGTGGGGACGCATGCAAACCCTGCCACAAAGGCATTCGGTGGAGCTCCCTATCGGGCCACAAGAAGCGTGAGGGGTGTGCCGACATGGGCGGGGAGACGCATGCGAACCCTGCCACAGCGGCTGTTCGGTGGAGCTTCCCATGGGGCCACGAAACGTGTGAGGGGTGTGCCGAAATGGACGGGGGGAAGCATGCGACCCTGCCATTGAGGCCTTCGGTGGAGCTCCCTGTGGGGCCACAAAACGTGTGAGGGCTGTACCGAAATGTGCGGGGGGAGGCATGCGAACCCTGCCACAAGGGCCTTTCGGTGGAGCTCCGTGTGGGGCCACGAAGCGTGGGAGGGGTGTGCCGAAATGGGCGGGGGGACGCATGCGACCCTGCCGTTGAGGCCTTCGGTGGAGCTCCCTGTGGGGCCACAAAACGTGTGAGGGCTGTACCGAAATGAGCGGGGGGACGCATGCACACGGGCCGTTCGGTGGAGCTCCTTATGGAGCCACGAAGCGTGTGAGGGACGCATGCGAACCATGCCACAAGAGCCTTCTGTGGAGCTCCCTATGGGGCAACGAAGTGCGTGTAAAGGGGTGTGCCGAAATGGGCGGGGGGATGCATGCGAACCCTGCCATTGAGGCCCTCGGTGGAGCTCCCTATGGGGCAACGAAGTGTGTGAGGGGTGTGCCGTAATTTGCGGGGTGCCGCATTCGAACCTTGCCACTGGGGCCTTTCGGTGAAGCTCCCGATGGGGCAACGAAGTGTGTGAGGGGTGTGTCGAAACGGGCGGGGGGACGCATGCGAACCCTGCCGTTGGGGCCTTCGGTGGAGCTCCCATAGGGCCACGAAGCGTGTGAGGGGTGTGCTGAAATGGGGGAGAGGACGCATGCGAGCCCTGCCACAAAGTCCCTCGGTGGAGCTCCCTATGGGGCCACGAAGTGCGTGAGGGGTGTGCCGACATGGGCGGGGGGAGGCATGCGAATCCTGCCGCAAAGGTCTTCGGTGAAGCTCCCTATGGGGCAACGGAATGTATGAGGGGTGTGCCGACATTGGCGGGGGGACGCATGCGAACCTTGCCATTGGGGCCGTTTGGCGGAGCTCCCTATGGGGCAACGAAGAGTGTGAGGGGTGTGTGCTGAACCGGGGTGAGTTGTACAGTGCACCGCTGACGAACAGGCTCCAAGGGCAAACGGATTGCCTGGGACTGAAGGCCAGGGCAGAACATGTACATATCGGGCCAGCCAGACAACCTCTGGCACGGCGGCAGGCCTCTACGAAACCGCTGCAAGACGACGTGGCGTGCCCGGGTGAGCGCATGCGGACCGTGCTCATCCGCTGGACACCTGAGCTTCAATGTGTCTGGACGAGTCTTGGCCCACGCCCCACACTCAGAACAACAATAAAAGGAGGCCTTCATCCAGAGAGCGTGTCAGCTGGGGCCTTCGGTGGAACTCCCTATGGGGCCATGAAACGTGTGAGGGATGTGCCGAAACGGGCGGGGGAACGCATGCAAACCTTGCCATTGGGTCCTTCGGTGGAGCTCCCGATGGGGCCACGAAGTGCGTGAGGGGTGTGCCGAAATGGGCGGGGGGAGGCATGCGAACCCTGCCACTGGGGCCGTCGGTGGAGCTCACATGCGGAGGGCAGAGCCAAGGAGGGGGAGGAGGGAGGGGGCAGCGGGAGGAGGTGAGACGCGGGGCGCAGGGAGATGAAACGCAGGGAGGTGACGAGGCGGATGGGAGGAGGGAGGAGAGGAGAAGGAGAAGGAGGCGCAGAGAGGCGAGGAGGGGAGAGGAGAAGAGGAGAGGGGACGCGGGGCGCTGTCTCTTCAAAACGAAGACCCAACACCACAGGATGGTTGGGAAGAAATCGTCCCCAGACTATGTTTGACTGTTTTTGAAGATTTCCCTGTAAAGGGACGTGCCCGAGTTAACGCAAGCGGCGAGGGGCGTCACTCCGCGCGGGGGCGTTGGGAGCGTCACTCCACGCGGCCTAGGTTCCCGTGGATACGCGGTCGTGTGGGCACGTTCCGCGGCAGGCCGTGCGGGACCAAGATGCCCTCGGGGATCTCTACTGACCCAGGCCACCCCGAACGAGGCCAGGATCTTGCAACACCGCGAAGGATCCTGCACGCCAGCCCAAGTCGATGCGACCCTGGCTGGCCCTGCAGGATCCTGCAAGGTCCGGCTCTCCGACGGCCCCCCGTTTGCCTTGACCCGTCTCAAGGCCCCCGACGCCCCGTGTCCACCGACGCCCCGTGTCCACAGGGTCGCCGGCCCAGGGGCGTTTGGGTACATGCTCGCTTTCTTCGACCTCATCTCGAGATTTGGAGCAGCTGCAGAGGTCTCGTGCGTACCGATGGCTTCATCAGCATCGGAAGCTTCTTTCTAGAGGATCGGGACGCCTGTGATCGGTCTGCTACTCGAGCTATGACTTAACAATTTGTTGCACTCTTTGAGCAGGGACCGACCGTCCCGGCATTCCTATAGTCATACCACGAAATGTTCTTAGAACCCAAAAACGTTCTAATAGCAAAAACAAGGATCTTAGAATATATTCCCGATGTGTTAAAACAAGACAGCCTCCGCCAGAAATGCTCTAAGAACATTTCCTGGAAACCGCAAAAGGTTCTTAGAACACTGTTTGGTAGGGCTGTAGGGGAGCCAGGACGCTTCGCCGCTGCTTGAGTTTGCTGTTTCGCTTTGATCTCGACATTTGGAGCGGCCCAGCCCCCGAGGCCGTGGATACGGCTATGGTAAGAGCTTCGGGCTGCGCAGCCATGCCCCAGGTAGCCCCGGGTGGCCCCTCAACCGCCCCCCCCCGAGGGATGTTGACTGGCCTCCACAAGCCCCCTGAATCCCACCGGCCCTCTGGGCGCAGGTGGTTTGGGGAGTTTCCTCTTCAACCCCCTTCTTTTCCTGCGGGAAGGGTTCAATCACTGCTCCTTATTCATATACACCCCCTCCCCCAGGCGGCCGGGGGCCAACCAGGCACCATGCCGACACCATGACCACCCGCCCCCCACCATCCCTGTCAAAAAGCAATGCAAACCGCACTCTGCATCCACATTTGGAACATGCGCGGCCAACCCGATGCGGCCCGACCCACCATCCCTGTCAATAAAAAAATCAAAATACACATTGGGGCAAAATCTTGAGTCATGCTCGTGAGGCCCGCAAACAGTGTTGTTTTGACAAGATCGGCGGGGGTGTCAGCATATTCCTTGCTGTTCGCAGGGCTACCATCCCTGATACAAAAAAACAATACAACATGCACCTCGCGGCTAAATCTGGATCATGCGCGGCCATCCCGCGATCATTGTCAACTGGTTTTTGACAGGGACGGCGGGGGTGTTGGCGCGTGGCCTGCTGTGCGCAGGCCCAGCAAAAAAAATGATGGGCATCGGTTTTCGACAAAGATGGCGGGGGCCGACCTGTTTCCCGATGTGTGCTGTCACGTGCGCAGGCGCACCTGACGCACTCTGCACGTGCCCCGAACGCGGCGCACCTGGCGCGGCTGGAGTGTGCGGCACACCTGGCGCACTCGGAGCACGTGGCGCATCTGGCGCACCAGGCGTGCCTGGCAAGCTCGGGCCCCAGGGGTGCCTGGCGCGCGTGGCGCCCCTGGCACACGTGGCGCACCTCGCCCAAACGTCGCGCACCTGGGGTAGGCTTTGGTTCCCAGTAGCTGTCCATCCAAAGACGACCGCTGAACATGCTCAGGCTCCGGTGTTACTTATGTGTAATAGGGAGGGCGGCTGGGAGTGACCTAGACGGCTTGCGGGCGGGTGGGTGTCCTGACCCCTGCCCCCTACCCCCTCCCCTGGATCTGGACGGGGCTGGTCCCGAGCGGTCAGGGCGTCCAAAACGGCCTCGGCGAGGAAGCCACAATCATTGGTTTACACTTGGGTTTGGGCTACATGTTGTCCTCCTCGGGGTCCAGGGCTAAAAGAAGCTCCCCTCTTCTTTGATCGATGTCCTCCAAGATGGCCCCAAGAAACGCCCAGGAGGCCCCAAGAGGCCCCAAGATGGCCCCAAGATGGCCCCAAGAGGCCCCCAAGAGGCCCCCAGGAGACCCCCAAGAAGACCCCAAGCGGTCCCAAGAGGCCCCCCCGAGGCACCCAAGACGCCCAAGAGCCTCCCAGGACCGCCAAAAGACCCCCAAGACGTCCCAAGAGGCCACCAAGAAGCGCCCAAGGGATATCACAAGAGGCTCCGAGAGGTATCCAAGAGACCTCTGGCCCTTTTGCTTGCCCTCCTCCTCCTTCTGCTCCTCCTTCCTCCTCCTACTCCTTCTCTTGTTCCTCCTCCACATCCTCTTCCTCCTCCACCGCCTTC